ATGTCATCTGCCTCCCTGGAGGCCGGAACAAGAGGGAATGCTCCTTACAACTTCACCGCAGCGTTGTTAGGTTTCTGACCCAACCCCCCAGATTCAAAGACACATGCTTGTCACTCTCTGGTCTTGGGCTTGTCCTGGCCCAGGCTGCGAAGGGCTCTGACCCGTTCCCCTCTCCCAGCTATCCTGCTGGCCTCCCGGGAGCTGACACGCAGCAAGCGTCTCAAGCAGATGCTGGAGGTTGTGCTGGCCATCGGCAACTTCATGAACAAGGGGCAGCGCGGGGGCGCCTATGGGTTCCGGGTGGCCAGCCTCAACAAGATCGCCGACACCAAGTCCAGCATCGACAGGTGGGGCCCCCTGCCTCCTCAACACCTCCCCTCCCCACGCTCACCCTGTGTTTCCCTCCCCTGGCTCCTCATCCATTTCCCTTTCATGTACCTTATCTTCCTCCTGAACCCCATGCCAGTTTCCCCACTCTCTCACCCCTGGCCCAACTCATCCACAGAAACATCTCTCTGCTCCACTACCTGATTATGATCCTGGAGAAACATTTTCCTGACATCCTGAACCTGCCTTTGGAGCTACAGCATCTCCCGGAAGCCGCCAAAGTCAAGTGAGGGTCCCCCCTTCCAAGGCGTCCTTCTCCCTGCCTCCCAAAGCACTAGTGATGGGTAGTGTTTTGGAACTTCTTTTTGGGAGACCTGAACAAAGACACTTTGCCCTTAAATCCGTGTTGTGGAGATGATTCCAGAAAACACTAGTTAGGGAGTAGAGAAGTGAACCAGGTATGAAAGAAGGCCAGTTACAGGAGCCATATTAAGCCTATTCCTACTGTGGGCTCCACCCCATGAGGGAACTCTGGGAGACAGCTCTCCCTGGTCCTGCCACCTGAGGAATGAGGGCACCAGGTGATCCTACAGACTCCCTTACCTGTCACTGGCTGGAGGAACTGGGTTGTAACTCTCTGGCCATGGGCGTGGGCGGAGGACATTGGCCCAGACATTAGCCCCCAGACCATTATTATCATACGAGTTGGTGGACTTAAATTTCCACTTCAGCTCACCCAGCTGAAGGGTCACAACCCTGCATTTTACTGTGCTGGACACCAACAGCAGCTACTATAGAAATCGGGGCTGGACTTAAGGGTGCATAGAAGCCATGTCCAGTAGCACTGGAAACGTGGCAAAGGCTAACAGGTACCCAGGGCTTACTGCACGTAAGACCCTGCATCTCAATCTGTTGCTACTATAGATTCACTGAGATGAATGTAGAAAAACTAGGAGTCTACACTCGGTGAGGTGGGGCATGCCTGGATCTCCACCCTCTGGGAGGCTAAAGCAGGAAGATTTTAAGTTCCAATCCAGCCTGAGCAATTTAGTCACTTGGCCACATCTTGTCTCAGAGTAAAAGGTTTTAGAAGGTCTGGGGTTGTAGCTTAGTGCAAAGCCACTGGGGGGGTCCAATCCCATTACAGAATAAAGCACAAAAGCCCAGGAGGCTGGCTTATGATTCTGGAGGCTGGGAAGTGGAAGAGTATGGTGTTAGGGTCTCCCTATCCCCTGGAGCATAACTACAAGGCCAAATGCATCCCTCAGCAAGACAGCAAGCCTGCTTCCACTTTGGGCCCCCAATGCATCTTGGGACAGCCCTTTCATGACCTCATCATATCCTAACCCCACTAACCAACCTGCAGTGACTATTATTGTCTGGATTTGGGGACTGCAATTTCCAATAGGAACTTCAGGGGGTGTGTGCCAACCAGAGCCCCCTGCTGGGAGCTGATGAGTATTACCAGCAACAGATCTAAGTCAGAGCCAGGCGTTTCTGACCTGGAAGGATCCATGGGGTACAACTTCCACCCCTGTTATTGTATAAAAGTGTGGACCATTTGGAGAGAAGTGAGTTCCTAGGCCCACATGTCCATCACTGACCCCAGGCCCTTGGCTTGTGCTTCTCGCTGCCCCTCTCCCCGAGCCAGCTGTGGCTGCTCACACCGCGGCTGATTTTCTTCCTTCCTGCCCATCCCCTCTCCGTCCACAGCCTGGCCGAGCTGGAGAAGGAGGTGAACAACCTCAAGAAGGGGCTGAGAGCTGTCGAGGTGGTAAGTGCGTGCTGTGACATCTGCCTGCCTAGGCTTGGGGACGCTGTTGGAGAAGTCGTTCCTGCTGCCTGCCCCTGAGACATTTCTGTGACCCAGAGCTCCTAGCCGGGCTGCTGGAACAACCAGCACAGTGGTACAGCCCTCAGGAAAGTGGGGCATGCACCGGACACCGTTTCTGTACCAACAAACAGTATGGCGCCCACACAGCAGCAAGGTGGCATGAACATGAGTCTGCCCTGTATTCCTCCCCAGTTTCCCTGTCAGGTAGAGTCAGTGTGGACCACTGCCCCCAGGAGGCCCTGTGTCTCCTCACCTTATCCCGGGCCCTGGAAGACCCAGTGTTGACTTTGTTCCTTCATGCAACTAGAGCAAAATTCCATGAACTGAATGACTTAGAAGCAAGAAAAAATTTTGTTTCTGACTATGCTGGAGCCTGGGGAGCCCAACATCAAGGATCGAGAAGATTCAGTGTCTGGCAAGGGCCTATTCAAAGATAGGGCCTTCACCCTTGGCCTCATGGGGTAGAGGGCAGTCACAGAGTTCCTCAGCCTCTTACCGGGGTGACAGTCACATTCCAGAAGGCTCTGCACTCAGGCCCCCATCACCTTGTGAAAGGCCTCACTCTGGAGACCTTCACCTTTAGGGGTTAGGATTTCAACATAGGAACTTTGAGGGGGAGACAGAACTCAGACTCTAGCCCCAGGTCTCTGGTCCCCACCATTCCTGCTCTGATAGCGTCTCAGCTAACACTACACAGGGCCCAGATGTTTTCATTCCTCTGTCCCTCAACACTGGGAACTAGTGACTGTTACCATCTTCACTGTGAAGGTGGGCGGGAGAAAGAGGGATCCCAGGAAGCAAGCTTAAGTGTAGGAAAGAAGAAAGTACCTTCTTTTTCCACCATGGAGGATGGGGAGGTGAGGCCCAAGTGTCCAGCTGTCTAGTCCTTTGAAACTCAGAGTGTGGTCCATGGTCTGTGGTCCAGAGGCATCTCAGTGAGCTGGGATCTTTAGGGTATGGCTTAGCAGCCTTTCTAATCCCCTGTGGGTCCTGTTCAGGATCAGATTCAGCCCCCCTGGTTCAAGAGCCCTCATTTCTTGCGATTCCCTGGTTGATGCTGCTGGCCTCAGACCAGCTTTCAGTAACAAGGCATTAAGGGATGAAAGACAGCAGTCCTGGTGGCCGGGACACAGACAGGGAGGCAGATGGGCTTGTGACCCTCGTGGTCCTTGTCAGGATGTGGATTTCCCCCCTTCCTCCATGTGAGTGCCAAGGAGGAGATAGCATGACCCCCAAGTTCCTGCCTCTCACCGTGCATCCATCTAAGCATCCTTTACCTCCCCTTCCCAGGAGCTGGAGTATCAGAGACGCCAGATGCGGGAGCCCAATGATAAGTTTGTCCCCGTCATGAGCGACTTTATCACGGTGTCCAGCTTCAGCTTCTCAGAGCTGGAAGACCAGCTCAATGAGGCCAGGGATAAGGTAAGGGTGTCCCTGCCTCTGCCTTAACCAGCCTTGGCACCGTGTCCCCACTCCTGCAAGACAAACAGGGCCACCCATGTAAGTGGATAGCTGTCCCACGCCTTACCTTCTGGGTCTGCTAAATGCTTAAAGTCCCATTCAACAGATGTGGTTAGGGTTAGGTCAAGGGCCATGCGCAAGGAACAGTGGACAGCTGGGTAGGAAACCTGACCTTGCAGCCCCACGTTGGACTGGCTGTTGCCCGCACTCATCCGGACACGGATCCATTTGGGACTTGGAGGCCTGGCGTGCAGCCAGGGCTTGGAGATTCAGCTCTCCAACAGGCTCCCAGCAGGCTGCCACATCCGGATCCCAGGCCTACCCCAGACGGCCTCAAGCCTTATGGGGCCGCAGACCTGATCCCTGGGGCTCCCCACTCCAACCACGCTAGGTGTTCCTGGCCTCCGGTGGCGCTGCCCCTGACAGGCCAAGCTGTCCCTCCTTCCTTCCCCAGTTCGCCAAGGCCCTGGTGCACTTCGGGGAGCAGGACAACAACATGCAGCCCGAGGGCTTCTTCGGCATCTTCGACACCTTCCTGCAGGCCTTCTCAGAGGCCCGGCAGGACCTGGACACCATGAGGAAGAGGAAGGAGGAGGAAGAGCGGCGGGCGCGCATGGAAGCCATGGTGCGGTGCGGGGCTGGGCCGGGGCGAGAGGACGCGGCGGGTGAGGGGCAGGGCAGGGTCAGCATGGGCCGTGGGCAGGCCCGCCAGGAAGGGGCTCGGTGCCCTCCCAGGCTCAGCTCCGCACCCCTCCTCCAGCTGAAGGAGCAGCGCGAGCGGGAGCGGTGGCAGCGGCAGCGCAAGGTCCTGGCTGGCGGCTCGCTGGAGCTGGAGGAGGGCGGCGAGTTCGACGACCTGGTGTCGGCTCTGCGCTCCGGGGAGGTGTTCGACAAGGACTTGTCCAAGCTCAAGCGCAGCCGCAAGCGCTCAGGGAGCCAGGCCCCGGACATCACCCGCGAGCGGGCGTTGAACCGGCTAAATTATTGACCTGGGGACTGAGCACTCTGGAAGCCAGAGGCGGGCGGGGCCGCGAGGGCGGAGTGGAGTAGGTGGTGAGATTACCGCTAGGTGCTGGGTGTCCAGCCCGGGGCTGGGTCCTGGGGCGGGGACTCCCCCACTTACCTTCAGGGGCTCCTCTGGTCTCCCTTAAACGAGATTTTTTCTGGGTCCTGGCCCCCAGGGTTCATTCTGGGAACTCGCTTGGCTAGCCCTGGCCAGGAACCCCAGGTGGTAGGTGCCTGTCCCCCATCCCAGGCACTCAAGCGTCAGACCAGAATTGTTTCAGATCTAGACCCGTGAAGTCCATGGACCGTGTCCAGATCTCCCGTGCCATGGGAATGGCGGGGAGCAGATTCCCAGGGAGTGAGCAAGGGAGATCCCAGCTCCTGGCTCTCATTTGGGACCAGTTTTCAGCTTGGCTGGGAACAAGGAAGACATGGTATGCGAGAGCAGCCAGCTCAGCTCTGGCCCGCTCCAGAAAAACCAAGGTGCGAGGGTGGGGCAGGGCCGACAGGAGCGGCTCCGGGTGTCGGAGGTCCTTTGATCTTGCCTTTCGCCATCCATCGCCACTAATCCACAGTTCAGAAACTACCCCCCACCCCCGTGCTCCAGGATTACGGGTTACACCAAGCTGCGTCGGGTAAGGGGGGGGGGTCCAAGAAAGACCTGCACCCACACACCCGTGCTGCAGACCTGAGGGCCTCTTGAGCACGCCCCACAGCACCAGCCCATTGTCAAAGTGATGCACAGCAACCTCACTTGTGGCCAGTGGTGACAAATACCAGCGGGTGACCCTTGAATGCCACACTCCTGCAGGAGCACCCCAGCCTATGCTGGGTATTATCATGTAGCCCCCGCCCTTTCTCTACCACCACAGGGCAGAAACTGCCTTGGCTGCACATCCTGCAGACCGCTTGGAACTGCAAGTGCCTGGCCCTGGGGAACTTGAGTCCTGAGAGCCAGGGCTGCCCTGGGCCTTTCCATGTTGCCATCTCTTAGGTGGCCTCTCGGTCAGGTCCGGTGTTGTGGGGCCATGCACATGGGGAAGGCTGGCTTAGTTGAGGGTACCCGGTCTCTGGTGCTGTTTGGCTCTTCCCTGAGTTTCAGGGGGCTTTTTGTCCATCTTGAGCTGTCCTCGAGGGCTGGATTGGATGGCTGTACTTAGGCTCATTTTCTAAGTGGAGGAGGTGAGGCCAGGTCCCTCAAGGCACTTACTTTCTTTCCCGCGTCCAGCCCAGCCCGGCCTCTCTGCCCTATTCCTGTGCCCTGGGTCCTTTGCCAGGGTACGAGCTACTGGCTGAGCTCACTCTTCTGCTGCTATCTTTGCACTGAGTCAGAACCTGGGGGTGGTGGACACAAAACCGTAGGGGAAGGAGTGAGGTTGGTAAGCACAGCAAGTGTGTTGGTTTGAGGGGAGTGGGCAGGTGTGTTCCGGTGGCGGGGGGATATGAGCAGTTGCATGCCCGGCCACCCTAGGCCCAGGTGAGGGCAAGCTGAAGGCTTCTGGGAAGAGCAGCTGCAAAGAGTCTGGTGAGGTCCAGAGTTCTCCCTGTAAGCAGCAGGCTATGGGATGGCGGCATCATAATCCCAAACGGGCCTGGCTGAGTGAGCTTAACACTCGAGGGGGAGAAGGCTCCACTTCTGCCTGGTAGGTGTGTCCAAATCCTAGCCTTCCCACCTACCCAGGACCGGCTCTGTACCATAAGGAGGGATAGGGAAGCTGTTTACACTGCAGGTGATCCTCACAAAGGCAGTGTTCGGGTTGTTTACAGAGGGTGCAGGTGTTGTCCCAGAGCCCAGCCTTCTCACCCCCAAAGGCTTTTTCTTTCCTATTTATTTTCTAGATCTGGCTAGTGGCTCTTGGTACTAGTTGGTGCCACTGTAGCCAGGTCAACAGTGCCGGGGTCCATCACGCTCCACTCAGTAAAGGGTCTGGTGCCCGCGAAGATGGCCAAGCGGGTTCTTGACGTTAAATGATTAAGGCTATTCATACTTTCCTTGGTCTTCCTGCCCCCTGGGTTCCACCACCCCAGCCCCATCTGGGTAAGATACTGTGGCTGGCAAGCTAAGGCACCCCTTCCTAGCAGCATGCACTTACTCCCTGTCTACCTGTAGCAATGTTTGGGAGAGAATTCTTCAGGCAGGTAGGGGAAGCTCTGGTTCAGGCTCTCTCTGCCCCTATCCCACTGCCACCAAGTGGGGAGCTGTGACCATCTTCCCTGCCCTCTCCCAGGGCCCTCCACCCCCTTGAGGCCAGGCTGCTCCACCAGCTGTCTCGGGTGATAAACGAGGCTCATGTACAAAATCCGCAGTGTTCTTTTTACCTGCACATTTTTATAAGGATATATTGTAATACTAAAAACTATTAAATCTACACCCCCCCCCAACTGCCTAGAAACTTGTACTTTTTCCCATAAGGGACTTGGAGTAGGTCAGGAAGTAGAACGTCGGCCAGCACACCCCAGTCCCAGGTAGGTGAAAATAAGACTGGGGGACCACCAGGGACAGACCTGAACGTACCCATGCAAGAAGAGACACCCCAGGCAGCCAGGTGCTCGTTTGGGCATGGGAGAAAGCGCTAATTCACTCTTCAGGAGCTGGGGCAGTTCTGCACAGGGCACAGCTGTGTGGGGAGCCTGCTCCTGCCCTATTCAGGGTTGTCTCTTCCCCAGGGGTGCGTTAGGATGGAGGTGAAGTGTAGCAGTGTGCTGCTGTGGCCACAGATACAGACCTCTTCCCTGCATCTCCGAAGTTGGCACTGTGGCTTTATTTGGGTGCTAAGTGAGGGTGACTGCTAATGCTCTGCTCGCCCATGTTCCAGGGTAAAGGGGGTGGGCGCGGGAGCAGGCGTGGGATACGCAGCCAGCCAGGGGTCCGCAGGGCTGAGCCCACACGTGGGTCCTGCTGAGCGCCCAGTGCCTGCAGCTGGCTGGGCCCACACTCGGGCAAAAGGAGGGGACAGGTGGCTCTCGAAGGTGGGGTGGCAGAGATGGGAGGAGGGGGTGTGGCTTTTCCAGTGTGGAGGCAAAGCTGCTGCTGAGAAGTCTGGAACATTCCTGGTGCAAGCATGTACTTTTTTTTCCTTTCTTGAAGTGGCTCCTTGGCAGAACGAGCCCTTATTCTTTCCCCATAGAAGCAGGAGAAGTGAAAACTCTAAGGTACAGTCTAGGCTGAAGTGCGCGCCTCCATAATGGGACACAGTGTTTGGGGATCTAGCGGTGCAAACTCTCCAGTAACTTAAGAGTCCCAGTCATGTAAAGTGAGCTCCACAGCTTAATAGAAATCATCCAGCAACAACGAGGGCTTGACTTTGGGTTCTGACCAGTGAAGGGTATGCTTTAGTAGCAGGTGGGAGGAGCCTGACACCCTGCCCTTGGCCCCAGGTGTGCGCCTGGGAGTGCTATGCCCGGTGGAAGTCCCCACGCTGGCCTCCGGTCTTGCTGACCAGCCTGATCTCCCCTATCTCGATGTCCCTGCTGACGGCCTTGCACATGTCATACAGGGTGAGGGCCGCCATGGCTGTGGAGGTCAGGGCCTCCATCTCCACCCCAGTGGGGCCCCGAGCTCGGCAGGATCCCCGGATGACCACGGCATGGCGTGAGGGGTCTAGCCTCAGCTGCACTTGGACGTGGCTCAGGGACACATGGTGGCACAGTGGAATCAGCTGGCTAGTCAGCTTGGCCGCCTGGACCCCAGCCAGCTGCGCCACCCCCAGGGCATCTCCCTTCTTTAGCTGGTTTTGCTGGACAAGCTCGAAGGCCACAGGCCCCAGCAGGACCACAGCGGAGGCCACTGCCTCCCGGTCTGTGTCTGGTTTCCTGCCCACATCGACCATAGCCGCCCGTCCTTCTGAGTCCACATGTGTGAGTTGATCTGAGGTTGCCCAGGGTCCAGAGGTGGTGGCAGGAGCCTGGGTCCCTGGGCTAAGGCACATTGAGGTAGTGTCCAAGTCTGCCTGGGAGCCGTAAAGTCTCACGGGGGATCCAGCCCCCAGCCACTGCCAGGCCAGAGGCGCCTGTGGGGCCCGGTGTTCTGTCCACAGAGTTGCTATCAGGTGAGAGAGAAGCATCCTGGGCCTCCGACCCTGAGCAGGGCCAGGTCCCCAGGAAGAGGTGACTGGACTGGCTGGTGGGGAACCTTGGAACATCGAAAAGAACCCTGGAAGGCAGGAAGGAAGAGAAGACTCAGCCTAGAAGGCAACCCTTTTCCAGCCTCCTCTTCCTGGCCCACACCTCACACCAGAGAAAGGAATGCAGCAGAAACAGCACAGAGAAAAGCAATGGAACAGGAGGCAGGCGCGAGACGCTCAGTTCAAGCTCACAGCCCTGCACCAGTGTGGCACGGTGGTGGCAGCCAGGCACAGTGGTGGGGGTCTGCTGGGCTCCCCTTAAGACCTATAAGAACCCACTTAATACAAGCTCATCTTCAATGTCTCATTTTCTTCAAAGACACTATGGCTGGGTCTCACCCTACGTTACCAATTATAGTCACTCTCATCTACGTATTCTTGATGAGGGGTTAAGAATGATCATTAAGATACTAAGTGAAAGTGTCTTTCAAGTCCAGCAAGTGCATCAAAAGGCCAGGAGAAATGACAGACTGATTCTCCTGTCCATGAGCCCTGGAAAGGATGTCCCAGGCTGCTCGTACTCCAAAGGAGGGCCGGGGACCAAGAGCACCCATGGCTCCCAGGACCTCAGCGATGGGGCCCACCCTAGACCACCCCAGTCAGAATTGAAAGATCCCAAGCAGTTCCCAGGCCCAGGCAAGGCAGAGGCCCTATTCTAGGCCGCTCTCAGCTTATGGGACCTAAGAGCAGCACTCCAGCCCTGAGGCTTGTGCCTTCTACTCCGGGTGGCCGGCGTGCTCAGGTGGGCCTTGGGCCAGCTCTGGCCCCCGCCAGCCTACTTTGCTGGGTGCCCCCAGGCCGGCCAGCCTCGGGAGAGAAGCCTCCCTCCAGGTTTGCTCACTGCTCTTTATCGGCTGGTGCAGAGTTCAGAGACCCAGATGAGCGTGTGACCAAGGGGTGAAGCCTTATTGCCCCCATCCGGGCACTGTGCTAGGAGGCAGCGGCAGCCCTGCAGCTCCTGACAGCTCAGCCCACTTCCCAGGGGCGGAGACAACCAGTATTTTCACCCAGAGGAACTTAGGTCAGAACCAGCAGTCCGTGTGCGTGCACTCCATCCTGTGCGCGCATGTTCCCAAGAGCCAATTGGATATTGGGAAGTGGAGATCCTGGCTGCACCCTCTCGCCCCACCAGTTGAGGTTCTGAGCTGGCTGTCCCAAGCCAAAGCCGGCACAGACATGCAGCACATGGGGCAGCAGGGCAGACATATGGGCATGGCCCAGCCCTTACTACAGAGGGGAAAGATGGCTGCTGGCCAGTGTGTCTCAGCTAGGAGGCTCTGGAGCTGAGGACAAGATCTCCACTTGAACCAAAGTCTCCACTGTTCATGAACTGGGTGATCATGAAATCTAGGACTCCCCCCCACAAGCTGATTTCCGGAGGGAGACTGGTCACTTTTGGGGTGTATATGGTAGGGGAAGACACAGGGCTTGAAGGGGTAGGAAAAGATGGAGGAATAAAAGGGACACACAGATGGGAAGGTCAGGATGAGATGCAGGAGCTGGGGGTGTCTCGTGGCTGGGGACCCCACCCCGCAGCTCCCACATGACAAGGGGGCGTGGTTACGTACTGATGGGTCACCCACCGATGAGGATCATGGGTCGGTTCTTCATCTGGGCAATATTGAACATGCCTGGGATGGGGGAAGATGGGGTGGGGGGAGAGCAGGGAAGGGGGAGGAGAGTTCACCAAGGTCAGTGGGTGGCCAGAGGCAGCCCAACAGCCCAGGATGCATGCACTCAGCCACCGGTGTCCTGGCGCCGACTTCCCCTGTGCACCAGTACAAGGCCCCCCAGGACAGAGCCCACAAGACAGTTAGCAGCCACCCTCTGTGGCCAAGGCACTATGTGGAAGGAAACAGGCAATGACTCACTTGCCCTCAGCCCAAGAGAATTTCCAGGTGCAGCTGGGCAGCACTGGCTACACCCCCATCCCCCAGGAAGACCTGTCATTGGGTGTCAAGTCCAGAGCTCCCTCAGGAGCGGGCACTAGCAGGGCTGACGCAGAGCTTCCTCCTGGGCTCTGTCCTCTCACCCCAGTGCCCCCAGGCCTCCCTCCTGGTGGCACAGCCCACCCGCCCCTACCTGCATGTTGCCGCTTCTTCCTGCCCACGGCAGCCCCGATGATGGTCAGCAGTTCCTCCTCTGAGGCACCGGCCCGCAGGTGGTCCCGCAGTGAGACCTCCGAGTTCCCGAAGAGACAAACCTGCATAGGGACGAGAACAGGTGGTGTGCTTGTCCCTGGGCTTCTGCATCTGAGTGAGCCCCCAACTCCATGCCAGCAGCCCCCTCCTGTGGCACCACCTGAGGGACAGAGGTACCAGAGAGTGGGGTCAGCGGAGTCGGAAGAGCAGGAAGGAAACCTGGCCTTCCCATGCCTGTGCTCAGCCACATCTCCTCCTAAGCATGTAACGAAGACGGTGCCAAAGGACCTGGCTCCGTATCTTCCTCTGTGACACGGACATGGCCTTGATCACCATGAAAGTTGGCCCCAATCAGTTGGAGCTAGAACCTCATGCATAGCACACACAATCACTCTTTACCTTGGCCCCACCTGGCCCCCTCACCAAGGATGTCACAGCCCACCCCTGCCCCTGCCCCTGCCCCCATCAAGTCTCAGGAGCCACCAGGGGCTGGCAGTGATCCATCCTGTGGTCACCTAAATTGCTTCCTGGTTTTGAGAGAGGCAGGGGCAGTGGGGTTAGGGGTGGATGAGATGGTCTTAGCCGGCAAGACCCCCACCTTCCATCCACAAACCTCACAGAGGCACCTGCTGAGGGGCAGCTCTGCACAGGGCACTGTGGACAGAGGGCCAGAAGAGCACTGGAGAAAGACAGCAATGAGCAGGCTCTAAGCTGGGAGGTGTAACGGTCTCACTGGTGCTGGCTTCCCCACTGCTACCCTACCAGACCCTAGTCTCCATGCTCTGCCCTTCTCTGAAGCTAGGAGGCCTGGCCCGTGGACTCCCCAGTGGCTGGCTTCTGCCTGGGAGATCAGGAGATGAAAGAAAAGCAGTGTCAGGTATTTCCTGCTTCCACATCTGGCAGCAGCTGCTGCCCTTCAGAGCGGAAGTGCCAGTGATGTCACTTCCTGCCTGTCTCACCTCCGTGGTGCAGTTGTTGGCGGATTGTGTCAGGGTGCCTCAGTGTCCCTTGTTGTTTCTTGCATGCCTAAACATGCTAGACAGCCTCCATTCTCTTCAGGAACCTACCTCAGAAAACTGGGAAGCAGGCTGTGTCCCTGTTATAGCATCTGTGATTGATGTCAATCACTACTGACATCAATCATCTGACATCTTCTGATGTCAATCTGGATGCACCTAACCTTTAGTCCCTCTGTCGCCAGCCTGAACAGGTCCCAAGGCCTGGCAGCCATGTCTCCCTCTTGCTCAGAAACCTCATAGAGCCTCCCATTTACAGAAGAACTTGTTCTAAATCACTTTACCCAATCTGACTTCTGTCACCATGAGCCCATGTGTGCCCTTTCTCCTGTGATGTCCCTGGCTCCAAGGGGGTCCTTGTTAAGCCTGGGGGTCCTTCACCCCCGCTGCCTGCCCCACCATGCCCAAAGACAGGGGATCGTGGGCTTCTGCATGCTACTGCTGTGGAATCCCGTGGGATTATTCTGTGCCTGAAAGGGGGTGGGCTCTTGTATTCCCTGCAGGGCCAGGGCTGCATCCAGGCACTAAGCTCACGACCTAGGTATGGGTCATGGATGCTGGTTACAGAGCTGAGCTCCTGGCATGGTGCAGGGGGCCACGCAGGTGGGGCACAGTGCATACCGATTCTCTGCCCCTGCCCTGGGAGCGTCGACTGCAGAAAAGGGGCTCCCAACAAACCGGAAACTAACTCAGGGACCCCGAGGAAGAGGGGGGCATGGGATCAGGGTGACCGTGCCGCACAACCCGGAGCTCACTCTCTTCCCATTCCCAGTGGCCCCAAGCTCCCAGCAAGCCTGGCTGCCACGCCTAGTGGGGAGCTCAGGTGGGAGCAGACGGAGGCAGTGACTGAGGTGCTGGGGAAGGATGGACGCACACCTTGAGGTTCCCGTCGGCCGTGACGCGCAGCCGGTTGCAAGTCCCACAGAAATGTTCCGACATGGACGTGATGAAGCTGATCTGGCCTTGGAAGCCGGGGATCCTAAAGGTCTATGGGGAAAAGGGCCAGCCAGGGAATGGGGGACTGAGCCCGAGCACGCCCTTCAGGGAGGAGCCGCCCAAGGTGGGCGGAGCCAGGCGCTGGGGGGACAAAAGGCTCACGTCTGTGGGGTGGCTGCCCCCTGTCCCCAGTCCCCAACCTTGGCAGTGCTCGATTTCTCCTCGGGCAGCTTCTCCAGCTCGGGCCACTGTTGCCGGATGGTGTCCAACATCTCCTTGTAGCTGACCATCTTCTTAAAGTTCCACTTGTTGCCTGCATTTGATGGAGAGGGTGCGGTTCCAGGGGGCTTCTGAACCAGAGCTGCAGGGACCCTGGGTCTTCAAATACCACCTTCCCGCCCAGCAGAAGACCTCTTCCCCTCTCTGGGAATGTGAGGACGGGAGTGGGGTTCCCCCGGCAGATCAGTCACAGGGCTGCGGGCCCCTCAGTGTCCACCGCAGCGCCCACCCCGCCTGCCGCTGGGCCCCAGACCCAGCAGCTGCTGACCGTCGAAGGGCATGTACTCTATGAAGCGCACGTCAAGTGGGAGGCCCTCAGTCAGCGCCACAAAGCTCAGCAGCTCATCTTCGTTCAGGCCTCGCATGACCACGCAGTTCACCTGGTGAGGACACAGGACCCAGGGACCGTGAGGACCCTCTCGTGTGCCCTCCCCACGCACCCCTTGGGGGCGATCTTTGTGAGACAGGAGCCTGCAAAGGTCTTCTATGGGGGACCCACTCCCTGCCTCGACCCACCCAATTTTCCTAGACTTGTACAGTTCCCTGGGGTCACTGCTTTTTCGCCTGGCTTCTGGGAAGAGGTTGAGACAGAGCTGAATGCAGCTGGCACGGAAGTGTAGGAGGTGTCATAGTCCCCAGTCAGGGGGGAAGGGGAGGAAGGTGGAAGTCAGCAGCTGGGACAGTCCTCACCTTGACAGGGCTGTAGCCCAGCTCAATGGCCTTGTGGATACCCTCCATGACCTTGTGGAAGCCTGTGGAGAGGGATGCAGCTTATCCACAGCCCAGGGACGTGGCCCAGCCATGCAGGCTGGGTAGGAACACCTTCCCCGCACCCCTCATTGCATCACCTTTCCTGCGGACGATGAACTCGAACTTGGCAGGCACCAGGGTGTCCAGGCTGATGTTGAGGGCACTGAGCCCGGCCTTCTGCAATGGGGGCAGCAGCCGGGCCAGGTTGATGCCATTGGTGGTGATTCCGATGGTCTTCAGCCCTTCCAGCTGGTGGAGCTGTGCTGGAGAGGGAACAGGGGTGTTTAGACTGGCAAGGCCCAGAGAAGCAATGGGAGCAACATGGAGTCCCAACAAGTGCAAAGGGGCTCGCTGTGACCTCCGCTGCGAGGCAGGGCCATTGTTCACAGACATCACTGCTCGGTTGCTCTGGACCACTGGTGGCACATACATGACTCCCCTCAGGTGGCCTGGGATGATGCTGTTGGGTGGTATAAGCTGCCTGATGGGACAGTCACAAATGAACCACCAGTGGCTCAAGCAGGCAGGAACACGTTTTTAAGAACACATGAATAAAATGCATAATAAACATCGCTGCACTGTGAAACACAGTGCCCTCTGTGCTGAGGTCTTGGCTAATATAAGCTTACTGACAGGGTTGGGTCTTGGCTAATATATAAGCTTATATTAGCCAAGACCTCGGAGCAAGTTATCCTCATTCAGGAAATAAGGAAGAGGCTTAAATAAAGGTTAAGAAATTGCTCGAATTTCTGGTAAGATCAGCTGAGATTCAAGCCTGTGCATACATGACTCCAGAACTGGGTCCTAAATAACCAACTACACAGGCCATGCAGCTCGGTAGAAAGGAACAAGAAAGTATTCCAGTTCTCTGCTGCCAGGGGTTTCCGTCGCACTCAAAGTCCCTGGAGACAACATTCTCAACTGCACCAAAAGGTGACAATGCTCTAGGTAGCCTAGAAAAGAGATGAAACACTGAGAGATGAAAACCAGGTAGGAACAGATGCAGACTGTGACCATGCTCCAAAGTGCACCCAGGAGAGGGCTCTACAAAAATATAGGTGACCGGTGACACTTGCAGGAGCAGCAGGGACCCAGGGCATGGCCTGCTGTTGCCTGGCGGGGTTGTGTGTGGGTGAGCTGGGCAAGAGGGCCTCGCCCTGCCCTGCAAGCAGGGACACCAGCGGAGGCATCCAAGGTGGCTGGTGGGAATGAGTCCTGAGGTGCCGTGACACTCAGGGGACACAAAATCCTGAGACCGATAGCAGCAGCCCATGGCCAATGGGGGTCCACAGCTAGAACCACCCAACAGCTAAGGACAGTGCTTGAGAGAAACAGGTGCCCCCAATGGAAGAACGAATGGAGCAGCAGCAACAGCTAACAGGAGGACGTCCTTTTGAAAAGCAGTATCCTTGTTGGGCATGGTGGCACTTCACATACCTGGAACCCCAGCTTGCTGGAAGGCCGGGGCAGGAGGATGGAAAGTTTAAGCCACCCTGGGTAATTTAATGACTTGCTGAGACCCTGTCTCAAGATAAGAAAAGGGCTGGGGGTAGCTCAGTGGGAAAGCCCTGGGTTCATTCTTTACATGAAGCTAAGCTGGAGCTGGTTCAATCTCAAGGAAAGGCAGCAGCAATCTTTACTGGAATAGATGCTGCATGTTGAAAACAAAAATAAACATTCTGGGAAAACATTATATAATCTCTTATTATCTGCGGGGGTGGGGGAGGATTGGTTCCTTTTTATACCTAAATCCAGCTCTATATTCCCTTACATAAAACAGTGGGGTGGTTCGTATATGACCTACACACATCATCCCGCATCCTTACAATAGGCTCTCAGTATTACTTACAAAGCCTAATGCAACATAAGTGCCAGGTAAATAGTCGTTACACCATATTAAGACCACGATGACGAGGAAAAGTGTGCCTGTTGGTACAGCCGCCACCCAGGTGTGCCTAAGGACACAGCACACTTCAGTACCAATGTCACATTTTTCCCTGAGTATTTGTGACCGGTGGCTGATTGGATTTGCAGATGCAGAAACTGGGGACACGGGGACACAGAGGCAGAGTGCAGCGGCAGAAAGCAAAACCCTTGACGAAAAGTAGAAAGGACACGCGAAGGCAGGCTGAACGTTGAGCAGAATGGATTCCTGGGCACTGCACACGAAAGAACAGGGGTAAAAAGAACGGGGCTGGAAAACATCTGCCTGCTCACGTGCAAGTCCAGTAGCATCTGGAGAAACTGCCCACGTGCTAGGGTTAGGATGTGTTAAAGGAGGGAGGAACCCTGGGACCCGACGCATCCTCTGTCTCTGTCCTTGGCTCAAGGTGTGACTGCGGCTACTCACTGCTCTGCTGCGCGCTCTCAGCATTGCTATTCTCTGTCCTGGCCGGAGCGGAAGCCAAGAGGGCTCAACTGATCTTAGACTTGAACTTCTATGTGAGAGTTAAACAAACCTTTGCTCTTTATAACATTAGTTGCCTCAGGCATTTCACTGTAGTAACACAGAGCTCATCAACACTGTGTCCAAATGTTCACAGTATCTGTCTGTGATCAGGAGGATTCCAAGTGACTTTTGGATTGACTTAGCGAGCACTAATGTTTTTTTTTTTTTTTTTTAATCTAGAAGTAGCAAATTCTTTTGTAATGTGGGGAAACACAACACACATAGCTGTTGGTTTTAGCTGACTGCTACATGGATGGTGCCTAGGAACTTCCAGCCCTCGAATCAGGCACTACCATTAAACTACCCAAAGGGATGAGCCTTTGTGAAGAGCCAGCTTAGTTTCCAGTGAAGGCAGAAACCAGTAGTAAAGTGTACAAGCGAAGCTGAATTAAGAGAATAGCAGCAGAAACTGGCCAATTGAATTTAAAAAAAAAAAATCATGTTGAGTATGCACAGGAAAGCATATGCTCCACGTATAAGGATAAATTAACACAAAGCAGTCAAGAAACAGGGTGGATGTTTAGAAATGTTTTACAGCACGCTATGACTGTCTCTCCAAATACTCCACCTGGGGCACGCCTACTCTCCCTGCCACAGTTCTAGATGTCCCCCTTCATGTCTTTATGAAGTGTGACCAAGAATTCCCTGAACGCTGCTGCCGAGTGCGCCACGCGGTGGAAAGGCAGAGACATAAAAACAGGCGCAAGGCTGCGTCCTCTCCCACCGTACTCACTGCCCCTGGCCCTGCGTGCTCTCGGACCCCTCCCCACAGCCAAAATGACCAGGAGAGGTGAACATGTGGAATCAACTCAGGAGGCTGAGGCAGCGGTAGCAGGACAACCAGAGACACGGAAGAGCATTCCAGAACAGCTCCCGAAAGCGGCAAGAACGGGGAGGTAAGTATGTCCAAAGAGCATTTCCAGGGAGAGTCACTGCTGTGTCTTTTGTTGTCATCGTCTTTTTGAGACAGGGTCTCCCTATGCAGCTCGGGCTGGCTTTGAGTTCACGCTGTAGCCCAAGCTGGTCTCAAACTTAAAATGATCCTCCTGCCTCGGCCTCTTCAGTGCTGGTGGCTTGTGCCACCATTCTTGGTAATGATGTGTCTTTTATTGTAATCAGCTTTAAAAAAAAAAAAAACAAAAAACAAAAACTGAAGCACACAATGTTTTGTGATCATACCCAGTACACCCAGCTTCTGCTCCATGTGAAGTTATGCAGGGAATTTTGCAAAGCCGTGGACCTGCAAGTGCAGGCCCAAGCACAGGGAATGACCGTGGAAGTGCCACTACTTATCGGCAAGATGTGTATTTACAGAGCCCCGCACAGGAAAGGCACGTGGGAGCCACCACAGGCAGCCAGCGACGCAGAACTGGTTCAACCGTTTTCAGTAGATGTGGGCATGTTGCGCAACGAGAGGTGACTCTAACCTACTGGGGCTGCTGGGGTTGGGCAACGTGCTCCCCATACGGCAGGGACAGCGCGGGGGGGGGGGAGACCGGAAGTACTCGAGGCGCAGATAAAGACAGGCAATAGGACACCGCACGACACGGTGACCACGGCTACAAACGGTTCCCGGCAATATTCTTTCTGCTTACCTCCAATACACATGCATGTCTTCTGTTAAAGGAAAATAAAATTTTAAACATATAAGCGGTTTGAAAAAGAACGAACTGTTAATTCCGGCTCTGCCCACAAGGAAAAATCAATAAAGGTCACGGTTCCCTCTGCCGGGTCACCCCAGGAGAAACACGCAGACCGGCACCTTAAACCATCTTGCACAACTCACAGGTTGTATTTCGTACTCCGTTCGGTAAGGTCTTCATACTCCTGTCAGTGAGCTCCTTGGGCCCGCTGAGGGGTAGCAGCCGGCCTTGACCTTTCTTCCCTGAGCAGGGCCACGCAGGACAGCCGGAGCCCTTGGGGGGAGACCTGGCGCATGGCTACCCCCACACCTTGGACCCGCCCCCCCAAAAAACGCGCCTTTAAAACACACCCACAGGAGAGAAGTGATAAAACCTGGCAGGCGGAAATCGCAAGGTAAGCATGACAAATACAGTAAGAGAAAGTTTAAAATATATATTAAAAATATGAAATGAAATTTTATAACAGTAAACAGGAACAAGGGGAAGCATCAACTAAACATAACTGTGGCATAAAGAACACAGCTGCTGGGGCCAGGGAGAAAGCTCAGGGGCGTGAGTGCCTGCCTAAAGGTCCTGAGTTTGAGCCCCGGTACCGGGGATGGGAAACTGGATCAAAACATGATGGAAGAGACATGCAGGCCGGTCGCTGAAGGGCTGAAGGGCTGGCCCCGGGACGGGGAGGCCTTGGGAGGAAAGGTCGGCGGAGAAAAGGAAATATTTAAGGAGGTAATGAAACAATGTGCCTCCCACCCTCATGGCAACTGCTTTAGTATTAAAAAGGAAATTCTACTTAAGGTCAATAGAATGGATGTGGAAAAGCCAATTCAATACGTATTTTTTTTTAATGACATACTATTTCAAGAATCCGAGGAAATCGAATGCAAGGAAACGCAGACTTTCAGAGCTCAAGATCTTAATGGAGCAATAGCCAAACCAAAAAACTTCCCTGAACACCAAATGCAGACGATAAAAGAAAAGCCAAGGTTATCATAGTGGAGGAAACTTGTTTTAAATTCCATGTGCATTCAACTAATTTTATAAAGCCATTAGCCTGTTGCTTAAAACATTATAAAATTACCTGGCTATAAGATTCAGTAAGAGGGCCGGGGAGATGGCGCAATAGAATAAGCGCTTCCTTGGCAAGCACAAGGGCCCAAGTTCAATCCCCAGT